TACTTGACTATAAGTTGACTTCATGTATAGGCTGAGGGCAGATACTGGGCCAAAATTATGGATTTTGATATGACCCCTGAATAAGTCGAGGGTAAAACCTAGGAGCATGTAACAAAGGATGTAAAGAACGAAGGAAAGGAAAATGATGCCAAAGAGTTTACAAAATTCTGGCAGGCATAACTCTGCTCACCCTAAAGGCTGGGTTTTCTTTACGGTGCTCCCAGGATGGAGTAAGTGCTTGCCTTTCTCCAATATATTCAGAGAAGGGGATGGTTCCTTTTTTATATATATAAGAGTTAAAGTATAGTACTTAAGTTGACCCAGGTTTTTGAGGCAAAATGTTTGACTAAAATTCCTAGACTTATACATGAATATCATGGGAATTGTAGTTTATTGTGGCACCAGAGCTCTCTGACAGAGAAGGCTCAATGTCTCAGAAAAAAATACAGTTCCCATGATTCCCTAGCACTGAGCCAGGGCAGTTAAAGTGGACTCAATTTGCACTATTTCTGGCAGTCTGCAAAGGCCCTTAATATCTTTACCTGAGAAGTAAGCCCCACTAAAATCAATGGGGCTTACTTGTAAGTAGACATATAGGAAAGCACTGTCAAATCAAATACCTGTTTTCTCTTATCTACTGTTTTGGGGCAGGCAATATATGTATATGTATATGTATATGTATATGTATATGTATATGTATATGTATATGTATATGATCATCCATGGAGAGCTTGGAGAAGTCACTTTTTTGGAATACAACTTTCAGAGTCCCCAACCATTTAGGCTGGAGGACTGGAGAAACTGTAGCCCCCCCAAAATGAACTTTTCCAAGCTCTGCACATCCCAGCAGCCCAAATACTGGCAAATACCCAGGTGTCTTAAATTATCTTTACAATTTCAACCATGTATGCAGAGCAGAAATTGTAAAGATTATTTTCAGACACCTTGTTCTAGCGTTCAGTAAACATTTCCCCCAATCTGTCAGAGTGCCATTAAGGAAACCTAGGCTTGACCTGGTCCCTCAAAAACCAGACAAAACAGGAGGCTTATCACTGCAACTGATACAATAGGAGAAAAAAATAATAATAAAAACTAAACTAATAGGTATACTATAAGTCACTAAGTACCACTAAGCAGACAGAACAACACTGGGACAGAAGAAGATGATTAGGAGATTTTAAAAAGAGTTACAAATTCCTCATACTGGATATGGAAATAAGGGTTGTGGGTGATATTAGTGGAACTGGAAGCCCAAGAAAACACAAACACACTCACACACATATATATAGGAGAGCTAGCATGGCATATAGTGGTTTGAATTTTGGATTACAACACTGGAGACCAAGGTTTGAATCCCAATTCAGCCATAAAACCCACTAGGTGACCCTGGGCAAGTCACACCCTCTCAGCTTCAGGGGAAAACAATGGCAAACCTCCTCTGAACAAATCTTGCCAAGAAAACCCCATGTTAGGCTTGCCATAAATTGGAAATGACCTGAAGGCACACAACAAAAACTATACACACACACACACAGAGACATATAGTTACACTCTCAGACTCAAGGGAAGGCAATGCCAAACCTTCATCTAAAGAAACCTGCCAAGAAAACTCCATGATAGGTTTGCCTTAGGGTTGCCATAAATCGGGAATGATTAGAAGGCAAGCAACAAGAACATATACATATATGTCACACTCTCTCAG